CTCAAGGGGAAGAAATGATCTTTGCTATGAAGTCCAACTATGTGTATTGCCTCGAGGGGCGACAATGATCTTCGCTATGAAGTCTAGCGTAATGTATACTGCCTTGAGAGGTGGCAAGGATATTTTCTATGAGTTCTAACTATGTGTATTTCCTTGAGGGGCAACAAGGATCTTCGCTATGAAGTCCAATATATGTGTATTTCCTCAAGGGGCAACAAGGATCTTTACTATAAATTCTAACATACATGTATTGCCACGAGGGGCAACAAGGATCTTCGTTATGAAGTCTAACTTACATGTATTGCCTCGAGTGGTAGCAAGGATATTCTTTATGAAGTCTAACATATGTGTATTGCCTCGAGGGACGACAAGTATCTTTTCTATCAAGTCCAGCTTTGTGTATTTCTTTGAGGTGCGACAAGGATCTTCGCTATGAAGTCCAGATATGTGTAATATCTCAAGGTGCGACAAGGATCTTCATTATGAAGTCTAGTTATGTGTATTGCCTCGAGGGGCAACAATGATCTTTGCTATGAAGTCCAGTTATGTGTATTTCCTCAAGAGGAAGTAAGGATCTTCGCTATAAAGTCTAGCGTAGTATATGTTTCCTCGAGAGGTGGCAAGGATCTTCACTATGAAGTCTAGCTATGTTCATTACCTCGAGGGGCGGAAAGGATCTTCACTATAAAGTCCAACATATGTGTATTGCCTAGATGGGTGATAAGGATCTTTGCTATAAATTCTAACATATGTGTATTACCTCGAGGGGCGGCAAAGATCTTTGCTATAAATTCCAGCGTAATGTATATTGCCTCGAGGGATGGCAAGGACCTTCCTATAGAAGTCCATCACTTAATTCAAGGTTTTACCAATTCTTTTCATCTTGTGTGGCAATGCAAAACTGAGATAAGATAATGAAAGTGCGTCATACTTATAAACCTTTTCCTTCTATAGGAAAGAGTATTTCCCAATTATTTAAACAACTTTAAAGAGTTCTAAAAGAAGTTACAAACTGTAGAGACTATAGCTCACCTTATCATCAATAAAAGCAATTAATTAATATATAAACTTGCATTTGTGCATCTTATTGATTTTGTCGGCGAGCTCATTTGAGAGAACCTTATTTTTAGGATTAGTTCTATTGCTCGTGCTTTTGATACTCATGATACAGTTTGACCTTTGTCGCCTCCTTGTAAGCAACTTATTTCCTTTTAATTTAGTAGTGGTATCTTAATTTCTTTGACCGTTTTGCTTTACCGAATCTGATTTTAAACTTGTAATTGAAGCCATGAAGCCCTTCCTTTTCTATATTTATATATTGGAAACTCTTTAAGGATATAAGAAATAAATATATATAAAATAAACACCTACTTTCTATCCCCTCCGACTATTGGGTACCGCGGACAGTCACATGTACCACTTCATGATAAAGCGACACTCAGCATGTGTCTTTTCATTACTAATCCAAAAAAGATTCATGAGTATATTTACTTTTACAGTTATGTTATTGCTACACCCTCCCTTACACCTACACCATATTTACTGTTCACAAATATGGTGAACAGTGACAGGAATAGTGAAAAATTCATAAATAGTGACCCGAACAATGCATGAACAGTATCCGTGAACGGTGACATACACGTGAACATACATGTGAATAGTATTCGTGAATAATGCATGAACAATGACTTTTAATTGTAAACTAAAGTTGGTTAATGAAGTGATGAAGTTGGTTAATAAGCGCCCATATATTAAAAAAAATTTAGTAGTAAAACAAAGTTAACTAATGAAAAGTAAAAAGTTGGTTAATAAACACACAAATATTAAAAATAATTTTTAGTAGTATAGTAAAGTTGGTTAATGAAAAATAAATTGTTGGTTAACGAAATTATGAAGTTAGTTAATAAATGTCCAGATATTAAAAATAATTTTTAGTAGTAAAACAAAGTTGATTAATGGAATGTAAAATGTTGGTTAATGAAACTATGGAGTTGGTTAATCACACAATTTTATATTGGTACCTTAATCTAAAATAAAAAAACATAAAATAACATTATATATATATATATATATATATATATATATATATATATATATATATATATATATATATATATATATATATATATATATATATATATATATATATATATATATATATATATATATATTATTTATTATTATAGTATTTAACTATTCAGCGTATTGGTGAATAGTAAAATACGGTATAGTGTAAAATATAGTGTAATAATACCATTTCTTTTATATTAAATAAATGTGCGTTTCTTTATGCTTATATAGCATGACCACACATGCATATCATAAAAAACGAGCATGCATATATTAAACCGTATAGTATTACAATGTAGTTGTTAATTCAATGTAAAAATAGTATTTCTCTTAATATAATTTGTATCAGTGGCTTTTTTCCATGCTTGTTCTCAACCAAGACATTTCACTCCCTACTCGGGATAGAGCTTATTCTCATTTATCAAATGAATTTCATCATTCATTTTTCTTCTCTATTACCTCTTGTTAAATAGGTTCATCTTATTAAAGAGATGCATACGCTGTAGGTTGGGATAACAAAACTTTTCTCGGCGTGAGGTTGTTTCATAGGCTTTTATTCAAGCTATTTTAGTCCCAAAGAATTCACCTATAGTACACGAAGAATCATTATTATCTCACTTCATTTGTTACAACTCTGAGGTCTGGCCAAATGACTCAGATTTTGAAGGTGACCATTTTGGTGTCGCCGTTTTGAGTAAAAAGGAATGGTTGATTATTGGGCGAGAGATGATATGGCGATATGCAGCTCATCTAGGAAGCTCGCCTGACGGAATAGAGAGTCAATAAAACACAAAAAATTTCTAACGAAGGAGTATTAGAGATGTAATAGTAAGAGTGAGTTATTACAGTTAGAAAAAGCGGTTATGAGCTAGTTAGAAAAGTGGTTATGTAAGAGATAGTTTGTAATCTCATAACCACACTAGTCTCCAAGTCTATAAATATAGAACTACTACTTGTGTAATGAGTTAATCAAGAAATTAATTGCATACTATAGAAGATGAATCAAAGTCTCTATTTAGTCCAGCTTCAATTGAGCTTTAACAAGGGGCGTAGTGCATCAAGGGAGGATTTGTCCCATAGTGTGATATGTAAGTACGACTACCTTTCATAATCGTTTCTAGAGAAAGTATAAATATAACATCCTTATTTATTATTATTTTTCCTTCACATGCTTCTCCTTTCCTAGGTTAAATCTACCTAACATGTCACAAGAATTAGGGTGGTGACACGCCTAAGTCTAATAGCGTTAGGCAACTGCAAAGTTTATGCACTATTCTTAAGGCGATATTAGTGCACTAAGACTTTACCGTGTTTACAAGTACCCCTTTAAAACCGAACCCTTTTTTCTTAGTAGAGGCAATTTCCCATGTAACTATAACAGTTGAAACTTACGTGTGGTTTAACTTTCAATTTTCAGCCAGACCCCTGCAAATGACCATCCAAAACTTTATTTTTGGTATAAAAGTTATTGATTACATATATTCTTAATTTTGATTTCCATTTATTAACTAATAAGGAAAACACCAATAGTATTCAAAGATCCCCCCTTTCAAAAAGGGAGATGAGCTATTGTATTTAACTCTCCACAATGATCCAAAACAACTATAAATAAAGAGTAAAGAGGAGAGATATAATACCGCCAGTTTAACATGACTTCCATGTCGATTTTCCACTAATGCATATTGCGCTTCCTTTCTTAAGCATGTAACGATAATGAAAATTGAATAAGACAGATATCTAAATGAATGTCATCTCAGATCATCCATAATCATCTTTGTAACTATTGTCATCACGGACAATACGACTGTTGTTGTTGTCGCCAAGGGTGGTAGCTTTGTGCAGACTGAACTTAAGGCCAAATTAGTTTTACCGGGCCCCACAGTGGACCCCACTATATTGTCAAAAAATGCAGGGTATGTGTGTTCTCTCTACAAGGGTAGGGGATTCAGAGGCCTTTGTTACCTTGACAGACTCCCTTTTGCTAGTCATTGTGGGTCCATGTTACCACCCACGTCAACTGGGCGATTAGAATAATGGAAGTCCAATCGGGAGGTGCAATTTCTAGTGGCCAGTGGCTTCGTTGGGTGCCTCGTCTCTCACCTCTTTATATATATATATATATATATATATATATATATATATATATATATATATATATATATATATATATATATATATATATATATATATATATATATATATATATATATATATATTTCATAATCCTTGATTTTATTTTAATTTAATAATCAATTAAGTCAAATGACAACTAATTGAGTCACAATTCAAACTAAAATAAGTTTCCTTCCATTTTTGGTGAAAAATATACTCCATTTTAATACATCATAATACCTCCCCCCATAAAATAAAAATAGGTTCCTTTAACTTTTTCCAAATATTTCTATACAAAAATAATGACTTTTAATAATATCAAATAGCTTATAATAAAAAAGATGTTTCAATTTAATAAAACATTTTAGATAAAAATGTTTCAATTTATTAATTACCAAACATGGAAGAAAAGTATATAGGAATCATGTGAGTCACTTATCCTCATATATTAGAATTAGAATAGCACATTTGTTGTATATTATATTTATACACGTGGACATTGTTCAAATGTGACTAGAATAAGATTATTCTCAAAACTATAAAAGTTAAAAAAGTAAATGGCCATTATTGTGTCTAAAATTGGAATTTTCTTAGAGATTCATGCAACTTAATTGTGAAAAATTGAATAATAACTGTTCGGATTTGTAATTATCTTGGAGATCACACATTGACATCACTGTCAGATACTAAACACTGATGACTTTGCACTAAAGAACATACTAGTCCTGTCTATTTTTTGGCTATAAAAAAGATAAGGGATTCTCTCTCTTCAACTGAGAAAGTGAAGTGAAGTATAGTGGCTGGTATAGAGTGTGAAAATGGGGATAAAGATTGAGATGATTGTGGTCTTAGTGACCCTTTTGCTTATTTGTATCACTTCTTCATCATTAGCTTACAATAAGAACTATGAAGAGGAGCATCTTCTTAGAAGAAACCTTCTTGCTAATGGTCTTGCTAGAACTCCTCCTATGGGGTATGTCTGTCACTAGATTATGAATGTTTAAGTTTATGATTTGATTCTGATATTTTTTATGCAGGTGGAACAGTTGGAATCATTTTGCCTGTCAGATTGATGAAAAAATGATCAGAGAAACTGGTATTTTTGGTCATTTATGCTTATAGATTTGTATAAATTGAGTATACATCTGGAAAAACTAACATTTGATTTTGTGAAATTTGTTGTATGGATTTACAGCTGATGCACTTATTTCTACTGGTTTATCTAAGCTTGGATACACCTATGTCAATATAGGTATTATCATTATCTGTTTCAATTTTTTACTTTGCAAATATGCAATTATCCTTTGTTTACAATTCTTTCTTGCTGCAGATGATTGTTGGGCTGAACTTAATCGCGACCATAAGGTATAGATTCTTTTGATTTTCATTGTGTTTTCTTATTTGGTTTCTTGGTTTCTGAAAGTTTTTAATAAAATTGTTTCCAACATTGACAATGTGTTATAGGGTGATCTGATGGCAAAGAACTCAACTTTTCCTTCCGGTATTAAAGCTCTTGCAGATTATGTTCACGGCAAGGGTCTTAAGCTTGGAATATATTCAGATGCAGGGTACATAAACAAACAATGATTAGCCAAATGTTTTTTATTTTTTTCATGGCTCTGCAACTAAATTCTATGCTGGTTTTTTTACAGGTATTTTACATGTAGCAAACAAATGCCTGGTTCACTGGGCCATGAGTTCCAAGATGCCAAAACTTTTGCATCATGGGTACTACAAATACTTGTGCCTTTTTTATCTTCTTTTTTTCCTTGCATCTATCTATTAATAGGTATATAATGCTTATTTTTCTTTACAGGGCATTGATTATTTGAAGTATGACAACTGTTTCAATGGTGGATCAAAGCCAACTGAGAGGTAGTCAAACATATATTTGCAATTTTGCATACTACTATGTAGAATCGACACTTCTATGTTTGGTATCCCGTGTTTGTGTCTATATCAGTGTTTCACCGGCTAAGACTAGGACTCGTGTTCTAGCTTTCTTATAGTTCTATTGTATCGTGTAACATTGAAACTATGGCCTTCTTATATATAGGTATCCTGTTATGACTCGGGCTTTAATGAAGGCAGGCCGTCCGATCTTCTTTTCGATATGTGAATGGTAGTTATTCTATTTTAGCATCTTATTGTTCTTCCAATTTTAAGTACTTCCCTCTAATCAAAATTTGTTTGTTAGGGGAGATTTGCACCCAGCTTTATGGGGTGCTAAAGTGGGAAATAGTTGGAGAACTACCGGTGACATAAGTGATACATGGGAAAGGTATAAACCACACACTCAATTTGTCGGTACTAGCCGTTCTTAAACATGAACAACTATGGTTTGTAACGTGCATAGTTGTTTGATGCAGTATGATTTCAAAGGCTGATACTAATGAAGTTTATGCCGAGCTAGCCAGGCCTGGTGGCTGGAATGGTTAGAATTTCTATACCTTAGACATTGTTTTTATGGTTTTTTCATTTAAAATTTACTAGTCAAGATATTCATTAAGCATTTTAACTCAACAGACCCTGATATGCTTGAGGTTGGAAATGGAGGGATGACGAAAAACGAATACATTGTTCACTTCAGTTTATGGGCCATTTCAAAGGTTCTATCTTTTTTTCTCTCTCTCTTTCTCTCTTGCCTTCAAGTATCTTAATTCATGTGATAGCATGTATTGACCTTGGTTTTTTACAGGCTCCACTTCTTCTAGGTTGTGATGTAAGAAATGTGACTAAAGATACCATGGAGATAATCTCTAATAAAGAAGTTATTGCAGTTAACCAAGGTGATACTTAATTTAAATCATTTTGAGATTTCGTAATCGTTGTAAATTTGTAATATGCTTTTTACCTTAAGTTTTGTCTCTTATATTATCTCGATAGATTCGCTTGGTGTACAAGCTAAAAAGGTTAGGATGGAAGGTGATCAAGAGGTAATATCTGGACACTCTAGCACCATTCCTATGAAGATTGAACTACTCATGTTTTGAATTTCATACGCATGAATGCATCAATTTTGATAGGCGGTGTGTAATCCACCATTTGCATTATTTTTGGATAGATATGGGCAGGTCCTCTTTCTGGATACAGGGTAGCCGTCGTGTTGCTTAACAAAGGTGCACAGCGTATCGCTGTAACAGCGAATTGGGATGACATTGGCATTCCACCGAAAAGTGTTGTTGAAGCAAGAGATCTTTGGGAGGTATTCATTCTACTACTGTATACATTCAATTTATGTTGTTTGTTGGATACTGAGTTAATTGTTATGGATGCAGCACAAGACATTGGAGAATTATTTTGTGGATAAGTTGAGTGCGACAGTAGAACCACATGCATGCAAAATGTATGTGCTGAAACCAGTAGCATGAGTTCTACAAGACAAGAACACGGTTGTTTAGATTTTGCAGCTTTTGGAAGCATGGTGGCTAAGTGGAAATGGAAATAAGTTTGTTTGTTTCTGAGTAAAAAAAATGTTAATTTTATGTGTGATGGATTTCATTTTATTCAATAAAGATTTTTCATCTGCTTCTGTTTAAGACAAACCCAGTTTTCCTTCCTTGGTCTATGTTTGGATCCGCAGTCGCATACTTGTGTCACGTCGCAATGCGGAAACAAACACAGGCTTAACATTTGAAGTTACATCTTACATTCTTCAATTGATATTTTGATTACTTGTTAATGTGAAAAGATTTTGAGGTCATGAAAGGCAAGTAAAAGATTTTGAGGCATGGACCAATTCTTGTCAACAATGAAGCTAGCTAGCTTAACTTGCATGTGATTATGAAATGTGTTAGGGATATTTTACCTAGAAACTAGATGAAGACCACACCAATTGTCAAGCTAGAAATTAGCTTCGATGCCATTGCCAATGAGCCAAGATGGATTTTCAATTATTGTTGAGCAATGCCCATTCATGCCACCCTAAATAGAGGAAAAATGTTGTTTAAGATTGATCTACCATTCCTCAAGACTCTAGCTTTGAGAAGCTTAGACCAGCTACTATTAGCATTATAGAACTCTTAACACTGCTTCAGATTAGTAGCCTTGTTGAGAATCCTTAACTGTTTTACAACATTTGTGCCATGCCACAATAATGATCTTTCTCTTGTCTACATTGCCACTCCACATGAAGTTTCTGAACCATTTTTCAATGTCTGAATGGAGTGAAGAACCATGCTATAAGCCACAAATTTGACAAGTTGAAGTCTACCTGACATAAATAGGAGAGAGACCTTCCAGGTAGCTAGCTAAGTTTTAATCTTATCAACTATGTGTTGAAAGTATTTGGTTTTTGGTTTTCCTTTGAAATTTGGCACACCAAAATACATAAAAGGATGATGAGCAACTGTGAAGCCAAGAATTGAAGGCAATATGTTGTGTCTGTTATAAGTCATAACACTAGCATATATGAGGGATTTGGAAGTGTTGTAAAGCTCACCACAACACTCATCATACCAATATAAGGTTGGTAGCTTCAATATCATGATAAATGCAGTCATTGATCCTTCTACCATTGATGAATCCATTCTGCTCATACGAGATTATAGCTATGGCTCTTATAGTTTTAACATCTTCTTTGCAAAAAAACCATTATGTCATCTGTAAAGAGTGCGGGAATGTTGTGAATAGGATGCCTTAAAATAGAATATAAACAGTTTCTTTATAGACAAGAAACACACAAGAGTTAAGGTTAACAAAGAAAACAAAGGAAAAACAACAAGGATTGGTTATAAATTGCTATTCTTTCATTTCTCTATCAAACAAGATTACAATTATACAAGAATAACAAAAATAACCTCTCTATTGAATTAGGATTTTATCTTCCTATTTTTCCTTATACAAGTTGATAAACTAGCATGCTATTTATAAGAAACTAACACACTAACCTAATGAGTTTTTTTAACAATTACCCATTACAAGCTAACTTAGGGTACAAACCAACTTAAACAATTGGACTTACAAGCAAGACTCAATTCAACATGCTAACAAACCTAGCAATATTGACTAATGCATGTTAGAACAAACTTCGACTACAACACGCATTACTCGCGAACAGACTTTGACCATTCTAGAGTTCGACCCAATATCTCATAAACCTTCACCTTGGATCTAACTCTATAACATCAAGAAATTAACTTTCTTCATGCAGCTTTATCAACTGAATATATTTGGAAAATTTTGCAACTAGACAACGTCTTAGTGATCATATCAGCAGCATTATGATCTGTCGAAACCTTCAGCACTTGGACTTCTCCACACTCGATTATCCCTCTGGAAAAATGCAGTTTCACATCAATGTGCTTGGTTCGCTCATGATAGGCTGGATTCTTCGACGGGTGTATTGCACTTTGACTATCACATTTAACAATGATAACTCGACCTTGAAGTTTCAGCTCCTTTGCAAAACCTTCAAGCTACAATGCTTCCTTCACAACTTCAGTTAGGGAGATATATTCTGCTTCAGCGGTTGATAAGGCAATGACCTTCTGGAGTGTTGTTTTCCAACTGACTGTTGTCCCAAACATAGTGAACACATATTCAAAAATAGAATTTCTAGAATCCATACAACCTGCATAATCAGAGTCAACATATTCTTCGATTGCTGCTTTATTATCTTCACCCAAGGCTCCACCATAAATTAGGACCCTATTCAGAGACTCATTTATGTACCTTAGAATCTACTTCAATGCTTGCCAGTGAGCCTCTCCAGGATTCGCCATGTACCTGCTTACAAGACTTACTGCATATGCTATGTCGGGTCTAGTACAAACCATAACACACATCAAAGAACCCACTATATCATCATATGGAATGTTATTCATATAAGCTCTTTCAACATCAGTAATGAGACACTGATCTATACCAAGCTTAAATTGAGGGTTTGTTGGAGTCATAACAGGCTTTGAATTCGACATACTAAACTTTTCGAGAATCTTTCGTAGGTATGTCTCTTGAGATAAGCATAATTTTGACTACTTTCTATCTCTTCGGATGTCAATCCCAAAAATTCTAGACGCAACTCCTATATCCTTCATTTCGAACTCCTTATTGAGTTTAGCCTTTACCCTCATTACATATTCGACATTGATGCTTGCTATTAGAATATCATCCACATAAAGCAGCAAAATAACAAATGAATTACCAGGTCGAAATCTGAAGTAAACACAGTGGTCGATTTGACTTCTAATGAAACTTATGCGTGCCATGAACTTGTCGAATCTCATATTCCACTGTCGAGGAGATTGTTTCAGTCCATATAAGGATCTACTCATCTTGCACACATAATCTTACTTCCCTTTTTCGACATACCTTTCAGGTTGCCTCATAAGGATTGTTTCATCTAGATCAACATACAAGAACGCAGTCTTCACATCCATCTGTTCCAATTCGAGGTCGAACTGCGCCACCGTGGCAAGCAATATTCGAATGGATCTTTGCTTCACAACAGGAGAGAACATATCATTGAAGTCGACACCTTCTTTCTGAGTGAACCCCCTGGCAACCAATCTTTCCTTGTATCTCTTCGACGCCACTCCTTCGGTCCCTTCCTTAACTTTGAAAATCCATTTACAGCTGACTAACCTGGCTCTAACAGGTTTCTTGATTAGTTCCCATGTGTTTTTGTCATGAAGATATTTCATCTCATCATCCATGGCCTTCAACCATTCAGTCTTCTTTTGAATCCTCATAACTTCCTTATAGTCTCTAGGTTCTTCGTCTAGAATCTCACTTGCAAATATTAAGGCATAAGCTATAAGATCTGCATACCCAAGTCTTTGAGGTTGCTTGATGACTTTCCTCGACTTGTCTTTTGGTAGCAGGTATACATTACTAGTCTCCTCATCTTCAACAAAATCTTCTGCATCTTCTTCGACTTTATCTGGGATACACAATTCAACATCAACATGTTCCACCTCAACAGGAATCTCTCCTTGTTCTAGCTCTTCGTCAGCATCATCAGTGTTCTTGAAAGCCATTTTTGCTTCATTGAAAACTACATCTTGACTGGTGGTACACCTCTTGTGATCTGGCTCTAGGCACCATAGCCTATAAGCTTTGACTTCTTCAGGGTATCCTATGAACATGCATTTCAAAGCTCTAGGTTCAACTTTGTCTTGCCTAATATGAGCATAGGCCACGCATCCAAATACTCACAGTTTGTCGAGACTAGGTAGATGTCCCGACCAAACTTCTTTAGATTTCTTCATTCCCAAGGCAGTCAAGGGACATTTATTTATCAGATAGGCTGTTGTTGAAATAGCCTCCGCCCAAAACACCTTTTCCAATCTATCACTAACTAACATGCATCTAACCCTTTCAAGGATTGTTCGATTAAATCTCTCGTCTAATCCATTTTGTTGAGGATTACCTGCTATGGTCTTATGCCTTCCAATCCCAGACTCAACACAGTAACTGTCGAACACTTCATTGTAGAACTCAAGGCCATTGTCAATACTCAACCTTTTAACCTTTCTGCCATTTTGAATTTTGACCAGAAACTTCCAACTTTTAAAATTCTCAAAAGTTTCATCCTCCGTCTCCTTGATGAATACCCATAGCTTTCTGGAATAGTCGTCAATGATGGATAGAAAATACCTTGCATCTGAGTGTGAAGGATTTCTTGCAGGCCCCCAAAGATCAGCATGAATGTAATCCAGGGATCCATGTGTTCTTTGCTTGCCTTTATTAAACTTTGCCCTACAGGACTTACCAAATACACAAGATTCACAAAACTCCAACTTTTCGACTTTGTCACCTCCTAGCAGGTTCTGCTTTCCCAATTTGACTAGGCTTCTTTCGCTGACATGGTCCAATCTCATGTGCCATAATTCTGTCTTCGACACAGATTTCGTGGATGCAACATTTGTCGAACCACTTATAACCTCAGCCTCAAGGGTATACAAGCCTTGTTTCTTCACGCCTCTCAAGACTTCCTTTGACCCCTTCATGACTTTAGGGATACTTTTCTCTCCTTGAAAAACATATCCCTTCCTGTTGAATTCACCAAGAGAAATCAAATTTCTCTTCATAACAGATACATACCTGACTTCAGTCAATTACCTTATTGACTCATCATGGAGCTTGAATCTCACAGATCCAATACCTACAATTTTGCAATATTTGTTGTTTCTCAGAAGCACCGATCCACCATCTTGATCACATAGCTCCTCGAACAATTCTCTGTTTGGAGTTATGTGCCAAGTGCAACCTGAATCCATAGTCCACTCTTTTCTTGAGTCGCCACTTGAAACCACAAGAACATCATATGAGTCGAAGTCATCTTGAACAATGGCTGCGTTGCCATTATCCTTACCTCCATGATCTTTTAGGCGTTCAGGGCACACCTTTCTTGTGTGACCATCCTTCT